CTGGTGACAATGTTCCGGTAATAGGAGAGTGTATGGTTCATGTAAGTTATAATGGTCAAAGTGTTAAACTTCCTCTTCTTGTGGTTGAAGGAAATGGACCGCCATTACTAGGTAGGAACTGGTTAAGTGATCTTAAGTTAAATTGGGAGAGTATTTGTTCATTGAACAATGGAAAAGAATCTAGTCTTACTTCACTAGATAAAGTTATATCTGAAAATAAATGTGTTTTTGGTAATTCAGGTTTACTAAATGATAGAACAGTGAAGTTAAGCATTAAAGATACAAATCCAAGATACTGCAAAGCTAGAGTTCCACCTTATGCAATGAGGAATAAAATTGAAAATGAGCTAAGTAGATTGGAATCTAATGGCATTATAAAGAAGGTAGACTATTCCGATTGGGCGACACCCATTGTGCCAGTGTTAAAGAAGGATGGTTCTATAAGAATTTGTGGAGATTATAAAACTACACTGAATAAGCAAATAGAGCTAAATAGGTACCCTATACCTAACATTGAGGAAATCTCTTTGAATTTGGCAGGAGGAGACAAATTCACTGAATTAGACTTTAGTCATGCTTACACTCAACTAGAACTGCATCCAGATTCAAAAGTCTATACGACAATAAACACACATAAAGGACTCTACCAATATGAAAGACTATGTTTTGGCATATCATCTAGCCCTGGAATTTTCCAAGCTGTCATGGACAGTATTTTTAAGGACATTCCAAATGTTTGTGTTTACTTTGACAATGTGTACATAACTGGTAAGAATGACACTGAACATCTTAAAACACTTGATAAAGTATTAAAAATTGTTGGTGAAAAAGGTTTAAAGATAAACAAAGATAAATGTCAATTCATGTTGACAGAAATTAGTTTTCTTGGTTATATATTAAGCAAGCAAGGCATCAGACCTCAACCTGAGAAAACAAAAGCCATTAAAGAAGCACCCAAACCTGAAAATACCCAACAACTAAGAGCTTTTTTGGGCTTGATAAATTACTATGCAAAGTTCATAGGAAATCTGTCTGGTAAACTATCACCACTGTACAAGCTGCTACAGAAAAATGCAACTTGGCACTGGGGTAAACAACAAGATACTGCTTTTAATACAGCAAAAGAGGCTTTGTCTGCTGACACCTTACTAACTCACTATGACCCAGGGAAAAGACTTATATTAACATGTGATGCTTCACCAGATGGTGTAGGAGCAGTCTTGTCCCACATGGATGAGAAGGGTGACAGACCCATTGCTTTTGCCAGTAGATCTTTGAACCAGGCTGAGAAAAATTATTCTCAGTTAGATAGGGAAGGCTTAGGCATCATTTTTGGTGTTAAGAAATTTCATAAGTTTCTGTTTGGTAGGAAGTTCACCATCTTTACAGATCATAAACCATTGCTAGGTTTATTTGGAGAAAACAAAACCCTACCTGAGCATGCCTCACCAAGAATTCAAAGATGGGCTATCACACTAACTGCATACAATTATGAATTGAAATACAAACCTGGATCTGAGAATAGTGCAGATAGTCTTAGTAGATTACCTTTAAAAAACCAAAGCCTGAGCTATGTACCAGAAGATGTATTTGTTCTCTTCACTATCATGGATAACTCCAATATAAATGTGAATGATATTAAAAGAGAAACACAAAAAGATGAGTGCTTAATAAAAGTAGATGAGTACTGTAAGAATGGTTGGCCTGAAGAGTCTGTGAATGATGACTTAAGGCCATATTAAATAAGAAATAAAAACCTTTGTGAAGATAATATAAAAGATGGAGAAGATACAGTCCATTATCAGTCAGAGTTGCCTAAACAAAGTATTTGTAACTTAATAAATGATTATGGTGATATGGCAATTTCAAATGTTTTAAAGAAAATACATTAGTAAGAAGGAATGTGATCATCAAACAACTTTGCTAACATCATTAGCACTTACAGAAACTAAAAGGGTAACATCAAAAGAAAAGAGAAAAAGATTTTTGCCATTTAATACTTTCAGATGCCAATTCAAAAAGTCAATCATGACAGAACACCCATTGAAAGAGAATTTGGTGTTAATAAGAATGTGTATCTAAGAAATTATGGGAGAAAGGAAAAATGGATACCAGGTCAAATTGTTCAATGTACAGGACCTGTGTCTTATAAAGTTAAAAATAACTTGTGCAGATAATAAGTGTGAATCTATCAATCCCACCAAGTCTGATCAGTTCACACCAACTCAGTTTGTTCCACAGCCAAGTTCTGTTGATATGAGTGAACCAAGTTGTCTGGAGTCAGAAAATGTAAATTCTGGAGTTAATGATTTAAATCCTAGACCTCCTGAGATAGAGAATCCAGATGGTCAGAATCTTGAGTCACCAAATCAAAAGCCTTTGAGAAGGTCAAGCAGGACAATCAAAGTCCCAAATAAGTTAGACCTATGATTCTAAAGGTCAAAAGGACTTTGACATTATTGTTTTGTATTTTGATTATGTTGTAGCATATTGTGCATTGTTTGTAAGGATGTAATCTACCATAGTGTTCATGTTACAATATAATTGGTGATTTTAGGATACTATCAATTGTTCTATTGAGAGATGTGTTATTGTGTTCTAAGGGTAAAGGGATGTAATAGATTGAGTTAATTGTGAGGTCAAGGGAACTCACTCTCTGTATTAGTATTATATTTATATTGTTATCTTGAGTGATGTCCCTTACATGTTGTTATCTATAAATAGTTCTCTCTCGCCATTTCCCTCTCTCTCTTTTCCATCATGGCGTCTGTACATAATAAAGGCTGTTAACAACCATCGCGGCTTCTCGTCAGTCATTACAATCCACCTCACTAGGTATTCTAGATCATCTAGATCTAGAGAATCTAGATCTAGATGATCTATAGATCTACGGAAAAACTAGACTTACACAAATGTAGACCCTACATGTGGACCCTGTAGATCTAGAATCTATTCAAATAATAAATTTCTATACTATATAATTACTTTATTGAAATCTTTTGTTTATCTATGCAATTTGCTAATCTCTATAATATATAAAGCAAAGTTGTCGAGTGCTCGACAGGGCACTTCCCGGCCAGAGTTTCTTCCAGGCAACTTTTGGGGGGGGGGGGTTTACCCCCCCTCCCCGAACGAAATGAAATTTTTATAATTTATATAGAGAATATATACTTTTAACAGTGTCCGCCCCCCCCCCCCCCGAAGAAAGTGTACCGCCCCCCCCCCCCCCGAAAATTTCAAGTCCCCCCCCCCCCGGAGAAAAAAGTCTGGAAGAAACACTGTTCCCGGCGCCACAGGCGCTTCAAATTTGACAGGATCTTGCCTTGGGCGACAGAACACGGGGGCCAGTTGGCCGAAAAGTCTACGATGAGGGGGTCAAAACTGACCTCGACTGACCGGCGCCTTATATGAGCTATAAATCGAAAACAAAAATTGTACGTAGGAACCTCTTCATAACTCCTGAGGTCGTAGAACGACCCTCGGGCGAATTAGTTAAGCATTCGAATTCTAAATGTTTTTGAAAGCCTAAGCGAAGCTGGGCAGCATGCCTAGTGTTATATAACTTTAAAAAAAATTTTAATAAAGGGTTTATGTCTTTTTGTGTTACATAAAATCTGCCATGCCTTTATGAGTCAGACTGTTATCCGTTTGGCAAATGAATAACCTTTTTTAGGGTGCAGGTGGGGGTGGATGGTTTATGCAGTTTGTGATGAACTGTAACAGAGCCAGAACTAGAGTTCCATTTTTCGATTGGAGGTCTAGAAAAATCTTTTTTTTTCTTCTCAGCTCTCAAAGTGTCGTATTACAACAATTGTTCAAAAATGACATATACACTTTAAATTACCATTAGTAATTAATCTTATTAAATATAAAAGATCATATTTAAAATCATGTTGCGAACTTTGAATAAAACCGCATATAAATTTCTTCATAATTAAATTTAGTCAAGCATGCAGATCTAAATCTAGTGTCAACATCACATCTTATCCAACATTTTAACAACATGACATCATTATCCAAAGTGGCGGATCACATACCCAAACAATGGGTTTCTATGCGAAGACGTGATAGCTTAATTATCTGAATAATTAAGATTCTTGGCTCTCTGATTATAGATAATTGTACCGAAACCAACAGTTTACTTTCATTAAATTATAATGTAAAAATATATTTGTGTTTATTAAGTTTTTCATTTATTCTCCAATGAATTTCAAGTTGTTTAGGGCTTAGGCCTATGTTTGTTCTTTCTTTTTTTTTTTAATTTTTACATTTTACTATTATGATTTTACTTTCCTGTATGAGATGTCCTAACTACTCCTAACCTATAGTTTACTATACTATACACTGAATATACACATTACAGAGTAAATAGGAAGTATTGTAAGCGTGGACAAAAATCACTTGAAATGTTGACAGTTTTCATCGGTTTACTTACTACACCTCAGTACTAGTACTTCATCATATAGATTTCTAGATCTACTATAATTAATAATTATACTGTAAACACAATAACTTGAGTTCCGTTACAGCTCGGTTGATGTTAAATTGTTAAATTCTGATTAGAAAAAACATAAATTTTTCTATTTGAAATAAAAAATGTTGTTAAAATACTAGTTATCTAGACTACATTCTAAATATTTTGTAAAAAATCATGTAGGAATGTGGCAATCTGCCATCTTGAAGGTAGCTTGTTTAAAAGTCCAACCTATTTTAATCAATATTTGTCTTAATAGTGTAAATGGCAAGGCTCAGTTTAGAAACCATGCGTAATTCCTGTCTGACAACATGGTCATGAGCATATTTACAAGTTAGCATAAAAATTGTAAAAATTTAAGGTGGGAGGTCACAAATCATAGATTTTAAAATTTAATTCCAAGAAAGAAAAACTGTTACTGAAAATTGTTTTTGCTGAGCTGTTGTTGATGTGTATCCATTTCAGTTAAAATACAAAAAAAATTTCTGTGAGCCCTCATTAAACAACTAGCTGTAAGCAACAGACAGTCCACCATGAATAAATACAGCAGGCAACGCCAGATTGGTGAAGGAGCCTTTGGGAAAGCGGTGCTGGTGAAGAAGAAAGACTCTGCCAAACAATATGTTATCAAGGAAATAAACATCATGAAGGTAATTACATCCAGCAGAAGTTGAGTTGTCAGTTCTGTCTTTTGTTTTAATCTTAGATTAACATCGTCTTTGGTTCTAATATTTTTGTATCCTTTGTTTAACATTATACCTGTGACTGCTGCAGAGGTGGGATTTAGGACTCCCCTTTTTTCTTTTCTTTCTTTTTAAAAAATGTAATCTTAGGTAGTATTTTCATTAATATTTAATCCAACTTTTATTTGTTTCAAAATACAGATGTCACCCAAAGAGAGAGATGAAGCTAGAAAAGAGGTATCTGTTTTATGACCACCTGAATATACTATTGCAAAACATTTTTAAACATTATTTTGTGTTATATTTTTTCCAAATATAAACATCAATCAAAATTATAAAAGAATAAATTGTTCAAGGAGTCAAATTTGTCAATTAATTTGTTAAAAAAGATAATCATTAATAAATATTTGGGCATTCAATAAACTTCTGTATTCCACCATCAGAAAAAAACAACGAAGAGTAGCATTAGTCTTTCCTCTTTATTATGACAAACATTTTTAGCCATGCTGTCCTAATGAGAAAAATGCTTACAATTCTACAAGCTTGTACAGCCTAACTGTCACAGCTAATCCCACTTTGGCAGGCATAGATACATTTGTGTGAGCACCATTTTACACTTAGTGAAATACTGTAATAATTCCAGGACCAAATGTCTAGCTCACAAGTAGTGGGGTTTTATGCAACTGGCTTAGTAATGTGTGTTTAACAATGAATTGTTAACTATTTGCTTATGTTGAATAGGTTGCTGTGCTTGCTCAGCTGAAGCACAGAAACATTGTGGCATATGTGGAATCATTTGAAGGTACTAGTTAACTTAGATATTGCTGCATTTCAACTGACAAAAATGATGTTTATTTATTTCCATGTTTATATTTTCTCTGGAAGTAAAGATTTAAAAAAAAAAATGAATATTTTGTTTTGCTCCTAGAAAAGGGAACTTTGTACATTGTCATGAACTATTGTGCTGGAGGTATGTTTTATATTTTTTATTTTGTCATTTTTATTTTAACTGCATGATTTTTTTTCTGAAGTTTAACCTTGTGAATAAACAGGTTAAAGCTCTTATGTGCATTGGTATAGTATATTAAGATAACAGTCATTGTTTTTGTCTCACTTAAAGAATTTTAAAAAAAGTGGATTGTTTCCCTTTTATATAAAATAATCATTAAAAAAAGTTTAAAAAAACCCACGTTTTCTGATTGAACTAAAAAGTAGAAAATAAATGCTATACATCACAATAATGCAAGCGATCACTCTACTATAAGCGAGGAAAAACGTGGGGCGCCGAAGTAAAAGTTATATTACTATTGATTAGATAATACTATTGACTTTTATTAGGGAGCTTGTAGAGAGTCAACAGTATTAGAAACTAAGAAAATCACGGCGCCCCACGTTTTTCATCTTTTAAAAACTTTTAATGATTATTATTAGGACAGCATGGCTAAAAAAATTATTTTTTTAATGATTATTATTTTCTACTTTTTAGTCTTTGTCTGTTTGTTTGCATTAAAATCTTGCTATCGATTTTATCTTTTCACTTTTTTTTTTGGGTAAACAAAGACAACTTGTAAAAAACACGTTGTGTGAATACGTTACTGACTAGAACACATAGATTTGAACCTGCGCCGAGTGGGATAGCAATCGTGTGCCCAACCACTCGACCATATCGTCTCTCCCATACTGGCCACCAGTTGTTACGTTCTGGTTGTTTGTACACAAACACCGCGTGACAACTACTCAGTAAGCAAAAAGAGGGAGAGTACCGAACCTTGTTTTCATCAAATTACAGTTACTGGGTTATGTCCCTTTTTCCCCACGTTTTTTGTACAATTATATAATGGTCTAAAATGATCAATAAAATATTTCCATGGATCAATTTATTAATAATAACAATTGAATATTCTATTGTCATCGGAAACAAAGCTTCCCTGAAAATTTCAGCGCGCTAGCTAACTGGGAAGTGCCAGAAATTTCGATCGCAAGATTTGATTGGAAAAACAAACAAACAAACAGAGGCGAAAGCAAGTTAAAGAAAACGTGGGAAAAAAATACATTTCATGCACCACATTAGGCTATCTAATAAGCGTTTTTCAATCAAACTTAATGCTTACCCTTGTTCAAGATTATCACATGTTGTTTTTGTTGTGGTTTTTCTGATGTTGATTCTGATGTTTTTATGCAATGTTTTTCATGTGGACTATAATCAACAATGTCTTACAGGTGATTTAAACGGAAAAATAAATGAAAGAAGAGGTCAGCTGTTCTCTGAGGACCAGGTGAGATGGACATTTAATGAGCAGAAAACTGGCTTTTATTACTTTTTCATTACTTAACATTCTTTTATCCAATATATATATATATATATATATATATATATATATATATATATATATATATATATATATATATATATATATATATATATATATATAGCTGATAATGACACACTTTGTTCAAACTAATATTCGACAATTAATTATTAATACAAAATAAACCACAATTAGTAATTTGATGCTGTTTTTTTTTAATTAATATTGAATTAAATTAATATAAAATAAATCCTATTTGTAATTATTTTTTCAGATTCTAGATTGGTTTGTTCAGTTGTGTCTGGCTATCAAACACATTCATGACAGGAAGATACTTCACAGGGACATCAAGTCACAGGTATTTTCTTTCTGAGGTTTTTATATTTTCCCTTGGGAAAATTAAGTTACAGGTATTTGCTGTCTCAGGTTTTTATATTTTCTCTTGGTACCTCTTCTTTACTTAATTACTTTTCTACAGAACATCTTCCTTACTTACATTACTTTTGTTACATAACATCTTCCTTTCTTTCATTACTTTTGTTTTAGAACATCTTTAGTTACATTACTTTTGTTACAGAGCATCTTTACTTTACTTTTTTTACAGAACATCTTCCTTACCAACACTGGCACTGTGCAGCTTGGGGACTTTGGTATAGCAAAAGTTTTAAACTCGTAAGTACAGATGTTCATTTTACATATTTCGTAACATTATAAATTCAGATCATCTTGAACCCCCCCCCCCCCCCTCTCAAATCTATAACTTTGTTAGTTTAAACATTTCAAAATGATTATTAATTTTGTCAATTTAAACATTTTTCCATCAATTTTCTCTAACTTTCTATTTAAAACATTTTTTTTTTTAGATTTATAAATTTGGATCATCCTAATTATAAATTATTAATAATATATTTTCTGTAACTTAAATCACCTGTTGTAGGACTGCTCAGCTTGCCCACACCTGCATTGGTACACCTTATTATTTATCTCCTGAAATTGTAGAGAACATGCCTTATAATAACAAAAGGTAAAAACTGATACAATGCCCATTTTTAATTTTGTAACATTTTTTTATGAAAAAAGTATTTATAGTTTCTTAACAAGCTGCAGCTATTAAGTGTTTGTGATGCATTTTTAATTGATGAACTCTTTCAGTGATATATGGTCTATGGGTTGTGTGCTATATGAGCTAACCACACTGAAACATGCAGTTAGTAATTTTTTTGCTACTTTTGTAAATAGAGACTACAGGCTACATTTTTTCTAGTATTTATTTGATAAGATTTAACTCATGGTTTATGAGATATACTCATGCTAATCAAGTCACAGGTATTTTCTTTCTGAGGTTTTTATATTTTCCCTTGGGAAAATTAAGTTACAGGTATTTGCTGTCTCAGGTTTTTATATTTTCTCTTGGTACCTCTTCTTTACTTAATTACTTTTCTACAGAACATCTTCCTTACTTACATTACTTTTGTTACATAACATCTTCCTTTCTTTCATTACTTTTGTTTTAGAACATCTTTAGTTACATTACTTTTGTTACAGAGCATCTTTACTTTACTTTTTTTACAGAACATCTTCCTTACCAACACTGGCACTGTGCAGCTTGGGGACTTTGGTATAGCAAAAGTTTTAAACTCGTAAGTACAGATGTTCATTTTACATATTTCGTAACATTATAAATTCAGATCATCTTGAACCCCCCCCCCCCCCTCTCAAATCTATAACTTTGTTAGTTTAAACATTTCAAAATGATTATTAATTTTGTCAATTTAAACATTTTTCCATCAATTTTCTCTAACTTTCTATTTAAAACATTTTTTTTTTTAGATTTATAAATTTGGATCATCCTAATTATAAATTATTAATAATATATTTTCTGTAACTTAAATCACCTGTTGTAGGACTGCTCAGCTTGCCCACACCTGCATTGGTACACCTTATTATTTATCTCCTGAAATTGTAGAGAACATGCCTTATAATAACAAAAGGTAAAAACTGATACAATGCCCATTTTTAATTTTGTAACATTTTTTTATGAAAAAAGTATTTATAGTTTCTTAACAAGCTGCAGCTATTAAGTGTTTGTGATGCATTTTTAATTGATGAACTCTTTCAGTGATATATGGTCTATGGGTTGTGTGCTATATGAGCTAACCACACTGAAACATGCAGTTAGTAATTTTTTTGCTACTTTTGTAAATAGAGACTACAGGCTACATTTTTTCTAGTATTTATTTGATAAGATTTAACTCATGGTTTATGAGATATACTCATGCTAATACATTTCTACTCCTCAGTTTAAAGCTTCTAATATGAAAAATTTGGTGCTAAAAATTATCAGGTAAATTTTTTGCTGTAGTGATTCTAATTATGGATTCTTTAATATATACTAAAAAAGATCAACTGATTTCCACAGATGAAAACTGTTTGAAATTCTAATGTGTACCTTTTTCTTTAAGGGGAAGCTACCCTCCTGTTCCTCCACAGTTTAGTTATGATTTAAGGGGCTTGATAGCCCAATTATTTAAAAGAAATCCAAGGTGAGGCTGTTTTGTAAATTCATATGGTTGCTCTTTTAAAACATGTGATATCTTATTACATCATGTGATATCTTGTTACAAATGTAGGAATTTTCAAGTACTGTTAGCCCTTTTCAGTTTCACCAAGCTTAATGTTAATGTTGCTTATTTTATCGTTGATGACTGAGGATTGAAATAGAAAAATCTCTGCAAATATTACCGTTTAAATTTAGCTATAAATTATAAAACTGAGGTTGATTAATTCAATAAAATAAAAAACCAGGATTTCAGTGGCAGAGTATTAGTAGCCCGACTGACTTGCAGCCAGGGACCCCAAGTTGTCAAGTCCCCCAAATGTTTTCTTACGACTTTAAGATAATACAGTATAAGTCTGATGACAGAATAGCCATGGAGGCCTTAGCTAGAGTTATTCCAGGAAGTTAATCTATGTGAGGGTTGTCATGGAATAATTTCAACATTTTATCATTTAAATTAATAACATTTTGTCAGAATTATATGGTAGAAAAATAATTTTTTTTCAGAGATCGTCCTACTGTCAATTCAATTTTAAGGAAAAATTTCATCATGCAGCGTGTTAGAAGATTATTGTCTGCCGAGGTAAGCCTCTGTTCTGAAACAAAATTTTTTTATTGTATGCTTATCTTTTCTAGTACCCCTTCCCTGTGAAATTAGGTTGATTTAGTTAAATTTAGTTTGGTAGAAAAATAATAAAAAAAGAATTTCCAACAAATTTTGATGTGAAATTTTAAAATATATTTAATATTTGAGACCTTCTAAGGACAAGCTGATGAAAACAGTATGGGCAGATAAAAGCCAAAATGATGTGGCTGTTTGTTCCATTACAATGCTGACTACTTGTCCTATAACAATGCTGACTGTTCCATAACAATGCTGACTGTTTGTCCCATAACAATGCTGACTGTTTGTCCCATAACAATGCTGACTGTTTGTCCCATAACAATGCTGACTGTTTGTCCCATAACAATGTTGACTGTCCCATAACTATGCTGACTTTTTGTTCCATAACTGTGCTGACTGTTTGTCCCATAACAATGTTGATTGTTTGTTCAATGATGGTACAGGATCTGCAGGATGAGTTCAGTCACACAATCATGCATGGCCACAAAATTGCCAAAGCTTTACCACCTGCACCCAAGCCTTCTGCAGGTGAGTTTTATCTTTACAGGTGTATTAGATCAAAGTTTCTTGTTGTATGATGGTGTAGGTCCTATATTAGCTTTGTGTAGGTTTTTTTATGATGCCTGATATCACTTAAGCAAGTTTCTTAGGGAAACAACCTAAAGATTGTATGAAAATATGTTCTCATCAGATCCGATCAAAAAACCCGCCCCAAGTCCTCGACCTGGGTCCGCAGGTAAAAAATATGACCCAGCCGCAGTCTATGGCGCACCATTGAACTCATCAAGAAATAGGTAAAATATCCAGTCCATGTTTTTCTTTGTTTTTATCAAAAGTAATATCAAAGTCCAAAGTTTTTCTCTTAAAAAAGATAAAATATTTCAGTCCATCATGTATTCTTTAATTGAGATTTAAAAAACAAATCTTGTAAATAGTATTCTTTTTTCATATTTTATTTTTCTATTCATTGAAGACTGTCTGGTGAAAAGAAAAGGCCAAGTACCCCAGGGAGAGCAGTTCCTATACCTCGACAGATGGTATGTGTTTCACACCTGGACAGGTGGTAATTGTCTTGTACCTGGACAGGTGGTAATTGTCCTGTACCCTGAGTGGTGGTAATTGTCCTGTACCCTGAGTGGTGGTAATTGTCCTGTACCTGGACAGGTGGTAATTGTCCTGTACCTGGACAGGTGGTAATTGTCCTGTACCTGGACAGGTGGTAATTGTCCTGTACCTGGACATGTGGTAATTGTCCTGTACCAGGACAGGTGGTAATTGTCCTGTACCTGGACAGGTGGTAATTGTCCTGTACCTGGACAGGTGGTAATTGTCCTGTACCTGGACAGGTGGTAATTGTCCTGTACCTGGACAGGTGGTAATTGTCCTGTACCTGGACAGGTGGTAATTGTCCTGTACCTGGACATGTGGTAATTGTCCTGTACCAGGACAGGTGGTAATTGTCCTGTACCTGGACAGGTGGTAATTGTCCTGTACCTGGAGTGGTGGTAATTGTCCTGTACCTGGAGTGGTGGTAATTGTCCTGTACCTGGACAGGTGGTAATTGTCCTGTACCTGGAGTGGTGGTAATTGTCCTGTACCTGGACAGGTGGTAATTGTCCTGTACCTGGACAGGTGGTAATTGTCTTGTACCTGGACAGGTGGTAATTGTCCGGTACCTGGACAGGTGGTAATTGTCCTGTACCTGGGCAGGTGGTAATTGTCCTGTACCTGGACAGGTGGTAATTGTCTTGTACCTGGAGTGGCAGAGTTACATACCACCTTTGTGATATACCACAGTGATCAAACCACTTTCAACACAGTCAGTGGGGTGTATGAAATAAATGATAGTTGTCATATGCAAGGATTGTTTGTACACCATTATGGCTGAATTCTGGTACCTGTCTCCTGTGGTTGTGTCCAGTGAACTAAACACAAAACTGTTAGTGTAATGTTTATGTGCTCCACCTCTTAACCACCACACAATCCTATTGCTGTTAAATGAGTTTTGTAATGGCAGTAGCATATTTACATACTTACCAATTTTGAATGACCTCCAAAATTTAATGAATTCGCCTTTTAAAATTTTATTTTGTTTGGCTTACAATGACAGGACTGGGAAAAAAAGAAAAAAGAAAAACTAGATCAGGATGAAAGACGTAAAGCAGAGATGAGAAAACGAGTAAGTAAATGTCAAATTCTTTCTGGCACCTGTTTGGTTTGGATCAAATGCTAGTCTATCACTGTCAGTAAGATTTGGACATGTGTGAAAAAATAGTGTGATGTACCCTGATTTTTCCTTACAGTAAATAGAAGTAGAAATTTCTAATTGATTCTATTGTTGAAAACTCAGGGATTGGGTGACCAGTACTGTGACCAAAAAACACACAACGGCTAGTATAAGTTATTGTGTGGTCTTGGTTACTCTAACACATCCAACAGATAAGTCAGCCAGATTCCAACTAGCCTTTCTAGCACCTCAGTCATATAATTAACTCCCCCTCTACGTAAACTGTAAAAGCCATTGTGTGTCTTCCTGTTTGATCCCACTGCCAGACCTTTTAAATGACAAATTTGTACAACTCCCAATTTTTGGTTAACACAGGAGCAAGAGGCTAATGAAAGAAAACACAGGGAGTTTATTGAACGACAAAAGGTTAGTGAAGATAAACAAAATCTTTTTATAACTTAAGATATACATCAGTAATGAATAATTGTGGACTTAAAACTGCTCAAGTATATGGTTAAAAATATTGCAATTAACTTATTTGCATATATTTAACTGTGAATTAGTGGCCATAAAGTTAAACTTTTTGAAAAGTTAAAATAGCTACAAATACAACTAGTGTTGTGAAGACAACATACCAGCAGCTTGCAGTAAAAAAACTGGCTTAGAAACCCAGTATAAAACTGTTTTGGACTTGTTATAACAGATGGCAAGGATAAACAAGGCTAGAGAGGATGGCTGGAAGCAGGTCGTTGACCCGTTCTCTATAGAGGAGGTACTGATAGATTGGTTCTTCTAGCTAATGCTTTTTTAAACCTTCTATTCAGAGAGTTCAAAGCAACAAATAAATGATAGATTAATTCCTATATCAGTTATTTTAAAGAAATCTGCCCAACAGTGAGTTGTAGGAAACATAGGAAACTGATTAAAGACGATGAGGATTATAAAAGATGCAAATGGGATCTTCTTGACCACGAGATGCGTGGGATTTCTGAAATAAAGGACACGTTTGTCCTTAACGAACGTGTGTGTTTTTAGGACAGAGGACATTTTGTCTTTAAGGACATAGGACATTTTGTCTTTAAGGACAGACGACCAGTGTGTTTTTAAGGACAGAGAAGCTATGTGTTTTTAAAGATAGGGGTCATATGTGTCATGTAGGACCTATAAAGCAAAAGGATATGTGGGACCTATAATAATGGGACATGTCTGGCGTCTAGGACCTTCAGGACACATATTGTGCTTTTTTAAACCTTCTATTCAGAGAGTTCAAAGCAACAAATAAATGATAGATTAATTCCTATATCAGTTATTTTAAAGAAATCTGCCCAACAGTGAGTTGTAGGTAATAAAATAAATAAACCGGGAGTGATCTCCCCTAAACTTTCTCGAATATTTTTATATAAAATTACAGGGGATGGGAACTCGGGCTATAGACATGATTTTTAATCCATTTTAAATACTTAAAGTTTTAAAAATAGAATAAAATCTCGTAGACAAATTAATTGCACACCAAGTGAACGCGAAATAAAAAAGCGCATAATAGTGCGCAATATTATTAGTACTTTTAAAATTTACATTAGTTTTTTGAGAAATCGGAAGTAGCGTAAATTACTACTTCCTGTCAACGGAAATTACTCAAAATTTAACAGAAGGTAGAGAATTAGATCTTTTACTTACATGTGAAATTTCATTTATCTATCTGAAATAGTACTCAAGTTATAGGCTTTTGAAAAATTCAAAGTAGAAAAAGTACCACTTCCGGTTGTCGGAAATCGCTCAAAAGTTGATACGGATCTACGATTTTGATAAAATACTTATATATGAAATTTCATCAACCTAGCTGTAACGGTACTCAAGTTATCGTGTTTACACACGGACAGACAGACAGACACACACACACACAGACATACGGACAAGATTGCAAAATTATGTTTTTCCGTATCAGTGAGGTGTAAAACGTCGAGATTTGTAAAAATCTCGATTTTTTTTTTTTGCACGATTACAATACTTTCTCTATACTACGTATATACGAGAAAGTAAAAATTATCTTTTTAGTTGACAATGTTCATTGGTGTTATAAAAAAATGGCCCCCAGATCAATGCATAAGCGGAAAGCTGCCCAACAGAAAAATGCCCAATTACAAAATAATTATACTAATGCGCTTTAATTTTGTAATATTCCGTGGAAAAATGTTTTATTATACTTAAATGTACATGTGATCAATCTTTGGTAAAGATTTATTTGTAAAAAAAATTAATTCCCTTGCACACCTTGCTCAGTTTTCTATTATGAAGTTTTCTATTACCCGTACCAAAAGTAACTGTAGGTATCATTTTAGCTACTGCTTCCTTAACAGTCGAATATTTCTTCAGCGGCCTAATATCAAGAGAACAATGATTGACCATAAGACTTTTAGTCTGTCTACTTTCTATTGTCTAGCATTGGGTTTTGTTTATCAAAGAATGACAACAGAGACTGGGGAAACTACGAAGCTTACAATCAGTTTTTGAACAAGCTGCACCAAGACAGGCAAACACCATCCCCTGGGCCAGCACGGAATCCAAACCATGTTGATGGTAGGTGACCTTGACCTTTCAGAACTAATGTCAAGCTTGTGGATGGCAGTTGACCATGACCTTTTACAGCTGTGCAGCATGTGTCATTAATGTTACTTTAACTGGGCCTTCCATTGACCTTTCATTGATCTTTCAAAATAGTCTTGAACTATATGCTGATTTATTGCATCTCATCTAAACATCATTAATTCCTAAAAATTAAAAATAACCAACATATAAAAGCTCTAATTTTTACAAAGAAATGTTATAATACTTAAAACAAAATATTCTTCCACAGTTGTCCTCATGGATTTAAAATAAAACAGCTGTAATTGTAATTGTAATTTTCACAAAAAAAAAGTTATAATAAAAAAATCTTCATCAGTTGTCCACGTGGATTTAAAATAAAACAGCTTTAATTTTCTCAAAAAAAAAGTTACAGTTAAATAAAAAAAAAATCTTCCTCAGTTTTCCACATGGATTTAAACTAAAACAGCTTTAATTTTCACAAAAAAAAAAGTTAAAAGTAAAAAAAATCTTCCTCAGTTGTCCACATGGCCGTCCCGCGACCTGTCCCACAACAAAGGCCACAGTTCAACATGGGCCCACTGGGTATCCCAGCAGTAGTGGACCAGGCAGGTCGAGACAGGTATAGCTACAATATGTAAGTTTCAGTGGGGCTTGAAACTGCATATGGTTTGCTTTTTTATTCTAACTGCTTTTTCTGCCTTGGGCAACAATATGTAAGTTTCAGTGGGGTTTGAAACTGCATATGGTTTGCTTTTTTATTCTAACTGCTGTTTCTGCTTTGGGCTACAATATGTAAGTTTCAGTGGGGTTTGAAACTGCATATGGTTTGCTTTTTTATTCTAACTGCTGTTTCTGCCTTGGGCTACAATATGTAAGTTTCAGTGGGGTTTGAAACTGCATATGGTTTGCTTTTTTATTCTAACTGCTGTTTCTGCCTTGGGCTACAATATGTAAGTTTCAGTGGGGTTTGAAACTGCATATGGTTTGCTTTTTTATTCTAACTGCTTTTTCTGCCTTGGGCAACAATATGTAAGTTTCAGTGGGGTTTGAAACTGCATACGGTTTGCTTTTTTATTCTAACTGCTGTTTCTGCCTTGGCCAAAAATATGTGAGTTTCATTAGGGCTTGAATGATATTGCCAATGGTTTGATTTTTTAAATTCTAACTGTTTTTTCTGCCATGGGCAAAGTATATTTTGAAATGGCCAACATTTTGCTTTTTATTTTAACTGCTTTTTCTGCCTTGGGCTTCATTATGTAAGTTTCATTAGGGTGTTGTGAAACTGCATATGGTTCACTTTTCTTGCCAATGAGTTTGGTAAATAAAATTATATTGCAGAAAATTGTGTGACGTATAAAGCAATAATGGGTGTGATTTTGGTATTATTGATAAAAAGATTTTTTAACATTTTCAATAATAATTTATGAAATTTGCCTTTAAAGAATGTAATCTTGGTCATCTAATAAAGTAAAAGTACTTTCTAAAGTTAAGTTAGAAAAAAGTTATTTTAAAAAAAATAATGGTTCAGTTTCGCTCAGGTTCTGCTACTTTTCTTTTTATATCTCAACCAGTAGAATTTTAATTTTGCTAGAATAAACCTTTGATTACACTTTACTAGGCTTCACACATTTATTATTTATACTGGTTCTCTACTGATCTCTATTCTCCCTGCACTACAAATTTGTACGTGTCTCTTGTCTCCCTACACTACACATTTGTATCTGTCTCTTGTCTCCCTACACTACAGATTTGTGTCTCTTGTCTCCCTACACTACACATTTGTACGTGTCTCTTGTCTCCAGGCAGCTTGGTGCCCAGGCAGCAGAGAGAGCTCGTGTGGTGGAGGATTACATGCAGAGGCAGAGGATGGCAGCCATGAATAAAATGAGGGCACAGATTGACCTTTATGGCGCTGTAAGTTTTTTATGGTGCTGTAAGTTTATTTATGGCGCTGTAAGTTTATTTATGGTGCTGGTGCACCATGACATCTCTCTCAGCTAAGCAATACATTTGGTGTCAACTTTGGTTGCAGGAGCTGCCACAGGAAAGCACAGTTGGTAAATTTATTATCATAGGGGCTTCCCCCCTATTGGATTACACTAAAGATAATCCTTCTTATGGCTCAACATGACCAATTAGATGAAATAATGATTGCTTATTTAAAAGACATTGCGTACTTGACCATAATAATGTTCTAAGTTTTTGCGCGATGTTATTTTGTTGGTGTGTCCTACAGTTTACTAAATAACTTACTTCTTTTTATTATATAAAACCTCTAGCTGATATGATTTTAGTTCTGATTTTTGTTCTTTGCTCAACTAATTGTGTAATTTGTATTTTCTCTGTATCCTATGGGAATTATTGTTGCTGTTTGCTGATGCAAACTTAAATGTTTTTCTGGTTGTGTATCAAAATATTTTATTTACAAGTATCGACCATCATCTGCTGACAGACGTACCCCAGTCCCTGCTCCACGTAAGTTATTTATTTTGGTAGTTTCCTCATTAAGTTAATCCTTTTTAATATCTTTTTACTTTATTTATTTATTTTCGCCCAGAGAGTTAAGAGAGAGGTGGCAGTCCTAATGATGTTTGAGTGACATTTTTTGTATTATTCCTAATAATTTATGAATGACGATTTATTCATTTTTATCTAGATAGAGGTGGCAGTCCTAAGAATGACAAAGGTCGAGGGGGTGGAGGCGGAGGAGGCGGGGGTGTCATGGTGGCCAGGAACAGAGAAGAACAGGTAGCCATTGGTTTACAGATAGATACTTCTCTTACTACTATTCTTATTTAATTAACCTGCATCTGTGACATTTAAATTGTTTTATAAATACTTGTTTTACTGTTCCTATTTAATTTACCTGCATGTTATATTTAATTTCCATTTTCATTTGCTTGCCTTCATATTTTGGTTTGAAAAATGTTTTCAAACTGTGTTTTAGGAATACCTAGAAAAATTGCGCCAAATTCGCATACAAAACATGAGGGACAGGCGAGCCATTCGGGGTGTCAATGTTGCTGAGGGTGCATCTAAGGTAACTTTCTTTACCCTTATATTTTATTACCTGAAATATTTTAATTTCTCTATTGGTTGGCATGTTGTAGTGGATCATAGTACCTTATAACAGTATCTATATTTTATATTCATCTCATTAGGAAAAGTTAATACCAGACTGATCTATAAAATAGATGACATATAGAAAGTTACCCAGAATGTTACATTCACCTATGTAAATAATAAATGGCAAACATTACTTTAGATGATGTTAAGAAGTAGTTTTGTTTTCTTTTTGCCTAGAACTCAGAGGAGGCAGAGGAAAGAAAGAAAAAAGTTGAAGCTCTGAAAGTAAGTTTTGTTTAGTTTGCTTTATTTTTCTTCTCTGTCACTGTGGATTATATTGAAATTTTCAATATTGAACTTTCTCATAAAATTGAATTGTTTTCTCTTGTTTTTTTTTTTATCTATCAAATTATTAGTTAATTATTGCTATAAAATTCAATGAATCCAATGCATTTTTTTTGGTGCCACTAATTCTTTTCTCCTTTTCTAATTACTAAATTTGATTGAATTTCCAAGTTTATAAAACACACACAACTGAGAGGTCAAACAGTGGGTTTACCTTTGAAAAAATTAAACTCAGTCACAGTTCTGTTGTAAAAATCATAAATTAAATATCATAGACTGCACTAGATTGGGTGCTGGCCAAGAAATGTACGCCTCAAAAGTCGACCAAATATTTCATGGACCCATAACCTTAAATAAAATCTAATGGAGTAAAAATAGTACAATCACACTAGAGAAGCAAGTCAAAATGTGGTGTCTCAGGACAGATATTTCATGGGCTGTGAGCCATAGACGATCTAAGAAAATAATTTTGGCCTTTTTTGTTTTTCAATTTTGGCTTTTTTACTTTCTCGTATATACGAAGTATAGAGAAAGTATTGTAATCGTGCACAAAAATAACATGAAATTTTGACAGTTTTCACCGTTTTACTCCTCAGTCCTTCATCACATCCGGAGTATAGAGGACTTATTTTAATCGGGCAAAAATTATCAATCCAGATTTATCAAAATTAAGAGGTTTTATGCGTAATCCAGTCTGAAAAACTGGGCTTTGCAATTCTGTCCGTATTCTGTGTGTCTGTGTGTCCGTGTGTAAACACGATAACTTGAGTACCATTACAGCTAGGTTGATAAAATTTCATATATAAGTATTTTATCAAATCGTAGATCCGTATCAACTTTTGAGCGATTTCCGATAACCGGAAGTGGTACTTTTTCTACTTTGAATTTTTCAAAAGCCTATAACTTGATTACTATTTCAGATAGATAAATGAAATTAAATTTGATACGTAAGTAAAAGATCTAATTCTCTACCTTCTGTCAAATTTTGAGTAATTTCCGTTGACCGGAAGTACTTATTTACGCTATTTCCGATTTCTCAAAAAACGCATGTAAATTTATAAAGTACTAATAATATTGCGCACTATTATGCACTTTTTTTTTATTTGGCGTTCACTTGATGTGCATTTCTTTTTTCTACGAGATTATATTCTATTTTTAAAAATTTGAGTATTTAAAATGGATTAAAAATCATGTCTAGAAGTCTATATCCCGAGTTGCCATCCCCCGTAGTGTTATATTAGAATATTCGAGAAAGTTTAGGGGAGATCACTCCCGGTTTATTTTACTTTTATCTCTAGCAACAAGCTGAACAATGGGCGGAGATGAAAAAGAAAGAACTTGAAGAGCAGAGACAAGGAATAGTTCCAGTAAGAACCAGTTTGGTTTATATATATATATAAGAAATGTTAGGAGTAATGGAATAAATTATCTCAACTGTATTTTTCTAGCATGCTGTATATTATGAAATATGTTTTTTAATTAGTTTTGCTAAAGTAACTAAGTAAACTATCCTACTATAAATGAAAAGTGGTAAATACTTTTAATGTTACCAGATGTAAGATTTGGCTCATCTCACCCCACTGCCCAGGCCTAGGATTTCCATAGGCCTTGGTGCGTAATCTTTCAATAGGGCTGGTAAGTAGGTCACCAACCAGTTATATGGCTCATGCAGGTTTTATTGAGCCGTAGAACTGATTGGTGACCTTCTTACCAGCCCTATTGTCCATCAGACAAAGGAGCAATATATTGATTTCCTTCCAGGTGAAGCCGTCAACACCAGCTGTTCCCATGACAGGAGCTCTGCAGGCCATAGGAGCCATCAATGTTGCCAACAAACCTTCTGTGGGGCAGGCGGAAGAAAAGTTGGTTTTGTTTCTCAGTTTTATTTTATTAGTTTTAGTTTTGGCTATAATGGAGGAGATCACTTTCAAAACTTGCCAAGCCACTTTTGATTGATTTTGAGGAAATTGACTTTTGAAAAAAAGTTTTTGCCAACTTAAGTTGTGATTCATGATAATTTACTATTACAAAATTATTTATTTCAAATTGTGTTTAATGAAAGCAATTCTTATCGCACGCTATTAAAACAAGTTGTTTGTCATTTAATGTGGTTATTTTTGTGTGTCTATAGGCCAGCAGTGCCCCTCACTAACGCCCTGCAAGCTATTGCTGGTGCTGCATCAGAGACAGAGAGACCAAAGTAAGTTAACAGATACATTGTTAACACAGATATCACTTTATTACATAAACGTTTAGTGGGGCTGTTATGGTAATCTTGTACTATAAGTTTACAGATACATTGTTAACACAGATCTCACTTTATTACATAAACATTTAGTGGGGCTGTTATGGTAATCTTGTACTATAAGTTAACAGATACATTGTTAACACAGATATCACTTTATTACATAAACGTTTAGTGGGGCTGTTATGGTAAACTCGTACAATTTTTTTGTTACTAATGATTTCCATAGTTTAGAAAAAATGTTTTTTTATTTTATAAATTGTGAGTTTCAGAATTTTTAAACATGTAAATAGATGTGTTCAAAAGTATCTTTTTAAGTCAAAGCATTGAGAAAGTGTTTTAGTTTTTTTTTAAAAATTGTTTGATTAAAAAAACAAAAAAGAACCAACTATTAGTAGTATTATGAATCTAAAAAACATAGAATATAAAATATTACGTCATTAATGTCATGAAATTATTATCTCCCTTTAAGGAGTAGCCACCAAGTCAAGAAAGACAACATTTTGAAGAAGTTAAATGATAAGGTAAACCAGGCTTATCTCTCTTTGCAATGTACTTCAGCTTCAGTAATTAGCATTAAACTATTATTTCTAACCAATGCAGTCATGACTTCGGCTCAGTCCATCTGTAGTTTTCACCCTTTATAATAACTGAATGCACAATTGCTTTGCTTGAGCCTAAAAGCAACACTCTGTAACCATTATGTTAGATATAATCATATTTCCACGAACAACAACCATTTCCATTACACACTTTCATGCCATTTTTCAGTCTATTTCTTTATTTTAATGAATGTTTCAGAAATTTATGATCACTCACAGAGAAAAATTAGTTGAGTTAGAAATATACATTTTATTTTTTCAAATTTTCTTGTATCTTGATGAAGTTTGTTGACAATTTATGCCGATTTAAAACAGAACCCGTCCAGAGGTAAATGGGGACCACCTGCATCTCCGGCAGTTACAGAGGAAGAAGAGCGCAGGAGGTGGGGTCCTCCTGCCTCACCTGTGGTAGAACCTGCCACACAAGGGGAGGAAGACAGCAGCAGATCTCACTGGGGCGGGGGGAAAAACCTGCATCTGAGTCAAGTACCATTGGAGATGACTGGGTCAAAGATGGAAGGTAGGGGAAGCTACTCTAGTGTTTGAGGGGAAGTAACTAGTCTATATGCAGGGGCGGTAACTGTAGTATATCACGACGGGACGCTACTGTATCATTTTCATAGGGATAATTATTGTAATTTTTTTTTTATGAGAGGCTTCTTACTGTTCTATTACATCAGGGGAATTAATGTAGCATTTTATAAGAGTGTAGTCTTTCATGAAGGGAAACTACTGTAACATTTCATGAAGGGAAGTAAATGTATCATATTATTCAGGAAAGTTCATATAGCATATGATGTTCTGACTAGTTGTATGCCCTTGGTTCTGATCCCATGTGTTAAGGGTTTTCATTGATCAATTCACAGAGTGCTTGCTAGTCATCAACTTCATTTTTAAACCATGTTAAGGTACTGAATAGAACATTTCCCCATGCTCATATAAGTAAAGGGAAACTTACATAAGGGGGCACAATAGACAATACATCTAGGCCATAATGTTGTCCTCATTAACCACATTTAAAACTATTGTATTTCTCACTACTGTCAGTATCTACAGTGTCGTAAAGTTTTCCCTAAATATTCTTATAGCCACGACACGAAGAGACCAGGTGATCAGGTTGACGGAGGAAGACAAGGATGCTCAACGAAGCAGGTGGAAGAGAAAGTCTGATGTGGTCAAGGCGCTGGACAATATATATGTCCAGATATAGTTGTTCTGTCTGGTATGGTTTTTTTTAAAAACTTATTTTACTAAAGAAAATATTCATTTTTTATTGAATTTTAAATTTAGTTAAGTGATTTTTATAAAAGTCACATTTTGATATGAATTTCACTTTGTTTAAATTTTCTGTTTTTTTTTATAGTATTTTACTTCAAATCTAGCTAATTTGTTTGATGGAATTATTTAAGTTTCACTGTCTTCAATATCTAGCTAGTATTACTTTGCAGCATCCAATTTCACCTCACATCATCAAGTCTCACTTTGTCTCATTTAATCTCACCTTTTATCATCATGTGTTACTTTGCATAATTTCACTTTGTATCATCTAGTTCATGAGTTTTCACTCAATGTTGTGTAATTATAGATCCATCACAAGTCACAAATCAGGACCCCCCAGTGGGTGTGGGGGCCACCATCACCATCACCCCAAATGCCCCATCCCAGGGCGCTACCATCACCATCACAGAGCCAGCAACAGATAAACCAAAAACTGGTCGACCCTTGCCAATGCCTCACCGCTCAGGAACCATTATCTTATCTAAAGAAATGACAGGTCACATTATCTTATCTAAAGAAATGACAGGTCACACCATTATCTTATCTAAAGAAATGACAGGTCATGTCATTATCTTATCTAAAGAAATGACAGGTCACATTATTATCTTATCTAAAGAAATGACAGGTCACATCATTATCTTATTGAAAGAAATGACAGGTCACGTCATTATCTTATCTAAAGAAATGACAGGTCACATTATTATCTTATCTAAAGAAATGACAGGTCACATCATTATCTTACCTAAAGAAATGACAGGTCACATCATTATCTTATCTAAAGAAATGACAGGTCACATCATTATCTTATCTAAAGAAATGACAGGTCACATCATTATCTTCTCTAAAGAAATGACACGTCACAATATCTTATCTAAAGAAATGACAGGTCACTTCATTATCTTATCTAAAGAAATGACAGGTCACATCATTATCTTATCTAAAGAAATGACAGGTCACATCATTATTTTATCTAAAGAAATGACAGGTCACATCATTATCTTATCTAAAGAAATGAAAGCATAATAATAACAATAGCTGATACCTGTTATCATCTAATCTAAAAAAAAAACCGCCAGATTAAGCATCACTTAGTACTTTTTAGTTACAGTTCATGTAGATCAGTGACCTTTGTTAAAACTAGCCATCTTATAAATAAGTAATTAAAAAAGATTATTTCAGTAACTGTTTCTTTTTTAAATCATCAGTATCCAGGTGTAATCATATTTTGACAATCTTGTCTTCATTAATAAGTGCATCAAAAGTGGGCAGGTTTCCCCAGTTATCTAAAGAAATGGGATGCTGTGGTTGTGGTGTAGAGCACATGTTTACTAGCTCAAAAGTCTAAAATTATTTTAATGAGTATCTGATTCAAGTCTGGGATAGTAAAGGTAGCAGTGCTCATTGCTGACCACACACAACCCCTTTATATGCAGGTGTCAGATCAACATTACCTTGTAGTTACCTGTTTTGTTGCTGTTGACAACAGGTAGGAATGTTCCAGTCATTGATGAAGACAACAAGACCAGCACAGAGGTCAAGAAAGATGAAACAGATGGGGCAGACAACTCTAAGCTCAAGGATGACGTGACAGCAAGCAGTGCTGAGGGTAAAGGTCAGGTCACAGCAAAAACAGTTCAGTTCAAGGACAGGTAAGTTCAACATGGATTTGTTTTTAATTGTAAAAAATGTTATATAACAGAATATTGTAACAGAGCCCACCATTTTTCTGTTTAAAAATGGATTTGTACTAATTATGTTTTTAGAGGTGCTAAGAGTGTTCAGCTGAACTTGACCTCAGGGAACTTTGACCTGAAAAATGTCAAGGTAAGAAAGTTTCCCTAACTAAATGTCAGCGCCCTGAATCTGATGTCAAATCCCTGAACCCTAAGACAGTTCCCTGAACTAAATGTCTGGTCTCTGAACTAAATGTCAGTTCCCTGAACATAATGTCAGGTCCCTGAACTGCAATTATGCTTTGCTTTTTTTGTCATTAGAAGATAAACAGATTATTCTTCAGCATGATAATGTCCCTTTGGCCTTTTTTACCACTCTCTATGTTGAGGAGAAATTAAGAATTTTTCATTCTGTGTATTTTCTAACCTTTAATTTTTTTAACTGATAAATTTTCACTTTATTCTTGACCCACATGTTACACTTTAATCTTGACCCACATGTTACACTTTTAACTTGACCTACCTTTTTCATGTTTCACTTTTTCACTTGCCCTACCCGCAGCTGCTGAGGACAATCTCAGAGCCTGACCTGACAAACTTAGCAAATATGGACATGGAAGTTGACCCAGGGAAACACGCCACACTCAGGCGACATCACAGTCTGGACATGACAGTTGTACCAGAGGTGGGTTACGTCTAAGTTTGTTGTAGTAAACTTGTCAGGAATAGTTTTTGTGGTGGGGAAGGGAAGATGTTGAATTTTGTCATAGTAAACTTGTCAAAATAGTTTTTGTGGTGGGGAAGAGAAGGTGTTGAATTTTGTCATAGTAAACTTGTCAGAAATAGCGTTTGTGTTGGGGAAGGGGAGGTGTGGAATTTGTTATTTTAACTTTGTTATTAAAACATTTTGATTGAGGCTTTTTTTAATCATGTCATTGAAACAAATAGTAAATGTCAGCTCATCAAATTTTGTTATGACATTTGTGAAAAATGATAAATTGGTTTGGGAGTCGTACTTTGTCATTAAAACTTGGTAAAAATGTTGGACAAGTCTCGTTAAGAATCTGTAAGAAAAAAAGATAAATGGGCGCATTAAGTCTTGTCATTAAAAGTACCAAAAAATTAAAAATAGATGAGGTTTTCATGGGTTTACATGACAAGAGATATTGTTTTCAACCCTTTTTTACTTTCTTGTATACACGAAGTATAGAGAAAGTATTGTAATCGTGCACAAAAAATTTTAACAATTTTCACCGTATTACACCTCAGTCCTTCATCACATCCGAAGTATAGAGGACTTATTTTAATCGGGAAAAATTATCAATCCAGATTTATCAAAATTAAGAGGTTTTATGCGTAATCCAGTCTGAAAAACTGGGCTTCGCAATTCTGTCCGTATGTCTGTGTGTCTGTCTGTCTGTCTGTCTGTCCGTGTGTAAACACGATAACTTGAGTACCGTTACAGCTAGGTTGATGAAATTTCATATATAAGTATTTTATCAAAATCGTAGATCCGTATCAACTTTTGAGCGATTTCCGATAACCGGAAGTGGTACTTTTTCTACTTTGAATTTTTCAAAAGCCTATAACTTGAGTACGGTTTCAGATAGATAAATGAAATTTCACATGTAAGTAAAAGATCTAATTCTCTACCTTCTGTTAAATTTTGAGTAATTTCCGTTGACCGGAAGTAGTAATTTACGCTACTTCCGATTTCTCAAAAAACTAATGTAAATTTTTAAAGTACTAATAATATTGCGCATTATTATGCACTTTTTTTACAAGCTTTTATTTAACTCACTTCCTCTGTCGTCAGTCTAGATGGAAACACAGGAGTGAAAATTCGGACAGTTCTACTTGACCGATACGATTCACATTTGGCACGTGGGTCAAGACATGAAGACAATGCAATCTGAAACTAAATTTGACTTAATTGGATGCCTAATTGATTTTTAATGAATTAATTAAAATTTGGACCGAATTAGTAGGCATATCTAGCCAACCACACCACACGCGTCATCACCTTCAATAGCTGCGCCATCACGTAATGGCTGAGTTCAAAAACCATTGCGCGCCTACTGAACGTGATGTTCAGTAAGCGCTATGGTTTTTAGTCATGTAACTCTATTGTAAATAAAACATGTAAAGTACTGAAAAAAAAATTCATAAAAAACATTTTAATAACAAGCTTTTATGTAACAATGCACTAAAAAGTAGAAAATAAATTATAGACTACTATTTAAATAACTATAAAGAAAAGCGTGGGTGTCTTCCTTAACATTAGTAAAGGTATCCAATAGATACTAAAGTGACCCACGCTTTTCTTTATAGTTATTTAAATAGTAGTCTATAATTTATTTTCTACTTTTTAGTGCATTGTTACATAAAAGCTTGTTATTAAAACGTTTTTTATGAATTTTTTTTTATTTGGCGTTCACTTGATGTGCAATTCTTTTGTCTACGAGATTTTATTCTATTTTTAAAACTTTAGGTATTTAAAATGGATAAAAAATCATGTCTATAGCCCGAGTTCCCATCCCCTGTTGTTTTATATAAGAATATTCGAGAAAGTTTAGGGGAGATCACTCCTGGTTTATTTTGCTGTCTATTACTTACTTTCATGTGCCAAACATGGTAAAATTATTCAACAGGCTTTAGATCTTAAATTGTAAAAAATAGAAAAAAATATCCCCTTAACACTTATAATTTAAACATTTCCCATAAATATTAAAAATTTTCATCAAAACTTGTCACTAAAATTTATCCCAGAAAATAACCTGAATCAAACCTAAAGCAAACATTTCTACATAAGTTATTTTGTGACTACAATATTAAATTACTTTCTTAATCTTGCTTTTAAATTCTATTAACTTTTTTATTTTTGGTTGTAACTAATAAAATGTATTAAGTCTGTGTTTATCACATAGTCTTCACTTACAAATGTTTATTAAAGTAACTGTTTATCTGAATTTCTAAACATTTGGTTTTTATGCCTGGCCTGTTGTTACACATCTTGATTTGTCTCTAGAATGATGGCAGCGATGATGGTGAAGATGATGATTTTGAAGAAGAGGATATCCCAACTTTTGACAAGTGAGTTACTTGATTCTAATTTAGTTGGCAGTTGTTTCAAGAAAGAGTTTTGTATTTGATTTGTTTTATTTTTTCACCCATCTGTTGTAATTAGTGACACATTTATCCTTTTCACACCTTGATTGTAATTAGTGACAAATTAAATCTTCTCACTCCTTGATTGTAATAATTGACAAATTAATCCTTTTCACTCCTTGATTGTAATTAGTGACAAATTAAACCTTTTCATCATTTATTTTAATTAGTGATGAGGAAACAGGCCAGGATGAAAATGATGATGATGAGGACATTAAAAGTATGATGGAAACATTACAGAGCATCATAGATAGTGATGGTGAGGGTAAGTCTTGTCTGTAGGTAGCCATGTAGCTAGTTTTGTCTGTCGGTAGCCATGTAGCTAGCTTTGTCTGTAGGTAGCCATGTAGCTAGTCTTGTGTGTAGGTAGCCATGTAGCTAAAGTCTTGTCTGTAGGTAGCCATGTAGCTAGTTTTGTCTTTAGGTAGCCATGTAGCTAAAGTCTTGTCTGTAGGTAGCCATGTAGATAAAGTCTTGTCTGTAGGTAGCCATGTAGCTAGTTTTGTCTGTTGGTAGCCATGTAGCTAGTTTTGTCTGTTGGTAGCCTTGTAGCTAAAGTCTTGTCTGTAGGTAGCCATGTAGCTAAAGTCTTGTCTGTAGGTAGCCATGTAGCTAAAGTCTTGTCTGTAGGTAACCATGTAGCCTAGGTTGTGTTTGTAGGTAGCCATGTAGCTAAAGTCTTGTCTGCAGGTAGCCATGTAGCCTAGGTTGTGTTTGTAGGTAGCCATGTAGCTAAAGTCTTGTCTGTAGGTAGCCATGTAGCTAAAGTCTTGTCTGTAGGTAGCCATGTAGCTAAAGTCTTGTCTGTAGGTAGCCATGTAGCCTAGGTTGTGTTTGTAGGTAGCCATGTAGCTAAAGTCTTGTCTGTAGGTAGCCATGTAGCCTAGGTTGTGTTTGTAGGTAGCCATGTAGCTAAAGTCTTGTCTGCAGGTAGCCATGTAGCTAAAGTCTTGTCTGTAGGTAGCCATGTAGCTAGTTTTGTCTGTTGGTAGCCATGTAGCTAGTTTTGTCTGTTGGTAGCCTTTAGCTAGTTTTGTCTGTTGGTAGCCATGTAGATAAAGTTTTGGCTGTAGGTAGCCATGTAGCTAAAGTTTTGTCTGTAGGTAGCCATGTAGCTAAAGTTTGTCTGTAGGTAGCCATGTAGCTAAAGTTTTTTCTGTAGGTAGCCATGTAGCTAGTTTTGTCTGCAGGTAGCCATGTAGCTAGTTTTGTATGCAGGTAGCCATGTAGCTAGTTTTGTCTGAAGGTGGCCATGTAGCCTAGGTTGTGTTTGTTGGTAGTTGTATAGATTTTGTAATGGTTGCAGGATGCAACATTATGTTTAGTTATATAGTTTTCTGGAAACAACATAGTCTTATCTCTAAGAAGACATCACAAGTTGAATATGGTGGGATGTTCAATTAAGAATAAACTTTTTTTTTTGCTAAACAAATGACTCTAATTGTAAAGTTTAAATTCTCTACCAAACCATCTCTTTAATTCTGTCTTGCTCTCCACTGTTTGAAGATAAAGAAAAGACCAAAGTCAGCGTACAGATCTCAGAAGCTCGGGACATGACAGATGCCTGCAGACCAGCAAAGGATAACTCTGAGAATGTTTCTGATGAAGATAACTGTGACGCAGAAAGGGAAAAGTTGGAAGAAGCTTTGGCCTTGGGAAGTGGTAAGATCCTCAACAACTTTCTTATGGTATTGCTTTTTGTTGTTTTTATTTTTTCTGCTAATTCATTTTAATGTTTTCATTTTTTTTTTGTCATCTTTGTAATGTTGTACATTTTTCAGGATGTTTTACTACTGTTTTGTTATATTATTTATATCTTTCATCACCTTTTCCTGTTTGTATCAAAGACACATGGGGCAGAAGAAGTAGAGTTCATCTGGTTCAATAACCTCGGCATACAGGGGGATAATGTGGTGTGCACTATGCCCAGTCGCCTTTGTTTCACTAAGATAAGTTAGATGTCCATCAGAGCTGGGTGGACTCAGGGACTTTCTACTGATTTGAACCTGGATTTATGTCTTTGCTCTCTCATTATTTTCTTTAAAATATGTATATGACATACGTATATGTCATTGCTTTTGTCTTTACTGTCGTGATTCTATCTTGGTTATATGACTTCTGTTTTCAACAGATCTTTCTATATATTGTTGCTAAATCTTGTGATAACATAACAGGATAAACTAACGTTATTTTTTAAAAACAAATTTTGTCCACATGGTAGATGACAGTGACGATGACACAACATTTGGTGATGACGATGAGGAGAAGGACAACGACCGTTTTGGAAGAGTTGAGCAGTTACGTGCTGAACTGGAATCTGACATTGGCTTGGAAAAGCTGGTCCAAGTTTATGAAATCATCAAGGTAAATCTTCACATTGAGACCAGTTGTTTTTTTTTAGCCTCATTAGGAAATGAAAGTTAAAATCCTTCTGCAACTCCACTTTTTATTTGAGTTTAAAAGCATCTTTGGACTGATCAGCCTGAACAGACCAAAATTTGATTGGCTAACAATTCCATCTTCTATTTACTTATTACAACTGTCAACAGTAAAATGTAAACAATAAATCTGGATTTAGAATATTTGCCTGATTAAAATAAGTCCCCTATACTCCGTTTATGATGAAGTAATGAGCAGTAAAAACTGTCAAAATCTCATGTGGTTTTTGTTCACGATTACAATACTTTCTCTATACTCTGTATACGAGAAAGTAAAAATTGATTGGAACTTGGCTGTCAAATCTATGAAAAACTCACTTTTGGTTTGTGTGTGTATTTTGTCATGTAAAAAAAGTTTTTAACACATGAAAATACTGTAAACATTCTTGTCTTTGTTTTTATGACATGAAAATACTGTAAACCTTCTTCTCTTTGTTTTTAACACATGAAAATACTGTAAACCTTCTTCTCTTTGTTTTTAACACATGAAAATACTGTAAACATTCTTCTCTTTGTTTTTAAAACATGAAAATACTGTAAAAATTCTTCTCTTTGTTTTTATGATATGAAAGTACTGTAAACATTCTTCTCTTTGTTTTTATGATATGAAAATACTGTAAACATTTTTCTCTTTGTTTTTATGACATCAAAATACTGTAAACATTCTTCTCTTTGTTGTCAGAAAATGCAGGAAGATGACAGTGGCACCCTGGGGCAGGGCTCAAACATTGCCATAGAAATCCTAGTACCGTCCAAGGAACAATTGTTCCCAAAGATTTTTCAGCTAGTGATGGCTGATATAGCATTCAATGAAGGCAAGTGTTTGATTGTAGTATTGGTGGTCTCAAGTACTTCTGATGGCTAGAATGACATTTAATGGCCAGAATTTCTTCTTATGGCCTTAAGTACATCTCATGGCCCAAATTAGATCTGATGGCCAGAATTAATTAATAGGTCTTTTTCTGAAATGTATATATTTGTTTGAATAAACTTTACTAAAAAATAAAATAAAATGTGTTTCAGATAACTAGAGGCTGTTCCATGACTTGGAGATGCTAGAAAAACTGTTGGTCTCAGACCTGGGATGACGCCATGTTTCGGAATTTTAACATCTGCTAATGTACGTCATTTCTACATCATTCCTTTGCTGGATAACCGGACATTCCAAACCGTTTTTGCTACAGATTAAAATTTGTGTGTCCAAATGTTGGACTGTGATTCGGACAATTGTGCAATCTTTTAGATTTTATAAGGATCATTTTAAACTGACTTAGAATTTTGTACACCAAGTCAAAGGACCATTATTAAACTGACTTAAAATTTTGTACACCAGGTGATGACGTAGACTTACATTGTGACATGTAGGCCTATGAAAACTACAAACATTAGTTTATAAGTAAGGTCAGCCCTTACAGTATTAAATGTATGCAATAAAAAATATATATCTTGGTTGTATTGAAGGTCTGTGAAACCAATGTTGATTCATGTCATTGTTCATTTCTACTGTAGTTTAAGAGTAGTGATTGAGGAATTTTTCAAATGGTTTAAAAATTTCATTATTGCTATGCATTTATTTTTTTAATGCACTTTTACAATAGATGATAGTAAAGTAGTAAAGAGATATTTTTTTTAAAGATACAAATGGATGTCATAATCAGCACTGTTAAATCACCAATTTAACATGTTAAGTGTTTTATTTTGTTGTGATATAATTTCATCTGCTGCTCTGGGTTACTGGCCCTTGTTGTAATATGTTCCATATGTCACTTTGACTTGTATGTTTCAGTTTTTTTATGCTTAAATAGGATATTAAGAGATTAGATGAAACTGATAAATATGAAAAGAAAAATACTTTTTAGAAATTAAGAAAAATGAATCAAGGCAGTAAAGAAGAACGATGATTAACTAATTAAATAATTGTGTTAACAGATAGAACTTGTAATTTTGTGTTGATGATATAGTGGAACTTAAGTATGTAGTCTTTTTTGATGTTTTGAGTACTTAACTTTTTCAAACTGTCTTTAAGTGTAAGCCTTATAATGTTAATTTGCCCATTTTTTTATTATAATGTTCTGTCCAGCTTATTTGTAGTCAAGTTCTAAATACTGTAATAGTTTTTTTTTTTGTGTTTATAAAATGATCTGGTAATACAAGTACTACAATATTGCATGTTGAAAGCTATAAAAAGAAATCCTGCACACAGATCTGTTGTCATTTTTATCACTTGACCAATCACAATGATTGTCACATTATTGTTGGTACTATACAACCAATGAAAAACCTTGCAGTTATTCACTGCTATCTAATTTTGTCTACAAAGCAGAAAAAAAGAAGTTTTTAAATTAAGTTTCCTATAGAATATGCTACTTATGACAAATAAAATAATGAAAATACAAACTTTTTTGTCTTCTTACGATGTGAAATATTTTATTTCTGTAACAAAAAATTACAAAATAGAAAAAGTGTGCGCTGCAAAATATGTTCCACTTGTACAAAACATTAAAATATTTTCTTTCACAAACATGGCCAATATCTTGGTTTATGTGCTCACATTTGCTGGAGGGATTCTCTGACAATTAATGAATAAAATAAATAAACATGCCCAAGTGGTAAATAAATGTCAAATTTAAACATGACAATCATCCTGGGACTTGAATGAAACAGTAAAATGATTTATCACAGAAGCTTTAAACATATAATCTTACTGAAATGTCTGATTGGTGTTTTTAATTAAACGTTTATGAGATCTATTTGGCAACTTAAAATGTTGCCTAAATGTTGATGGGAATAAGGTAAAATAAATCTAATTCATTTGTTCTTCTGATGAAGGGCACTTGATCATAGGCAGGATGGATTTAATGTGTGGTGAATATAAAAACATGAATTACAATTTAAAAAAAAAAAATCCGTACGAGTTTCATAAATAAGGTATTGATGACATCCAGAATTTTCAGTGTCTGTAATTAGGGATTTCCTCTGAGTGTCTGAAATTGGTTAGTGCTCTTCAGGTCTGTAATTAATTACTGCTCTTCGTGTCTGTAATTAGGGCTCTTCTTTCAGTGTGTCTGACTCAGGAAACATGTACTTTTGGATCTTCTCCTGACTGACCTTCTCACTGCACATTGGGCAGGTCTCTTCTGTCTCACACATCCTGAAACAACAGACCAGTCTATTTTTAGCTCTCACGTCATCGAACCGCTATACTTATCAGTACTCATCTACAGCACTGAGACTGAGACTTTGGGTAAAAGCAATAAGTATGTTGATATTAAAAAATCACGGGGAATGCCTGATGTCATATACAACAAACACTAAATATTTTTATTGTGTGGTGTCAACTAGTCTAGCATGCACTGGTTAACTTGTAAGTGCATTGCTCAAGTCAGCAAATCTCTACCAAACTCAGATGAGACTGTAAGTCAGGGAATAACAGGTAGTTGGGCATGGTGCTGTCACACATGGTGCTGTCACACAATACCAATTTGTCCAAGTCACAAAATCAAAGGGACTCTACGTGACCAGCCACTGTCAATTCTGGCTGGGTATTACACACTTTTTTTTAACCTCAATAGAAAAAGTAAGAAAAAAAAAGATAACTTGATATTCCTTATATCACTGAAAAACTTGGGAATAATTGCCAGTGACAGAATATTCAATGACTATTACAGAGGTTGTAACTATATGAGTGAGATTGAACATATAATAAAACTATAAGGGGTTTGGTTATGCTAGGAGAGTTGAGGGAAATTTATATACAAAGTGACAGACTTATAAAACTTACTTAAGGAATTAAATTAGTCTATAGACAGTCTTGTAAAACTTACTTAAGGAATTCTGTATAGATGGCAGGGAAGTCACAGTTAGGGCAGGCAGTGAAGTCATCTTTCAAAACATGGCGACCCTGAGGTTACAAATGAGATGTTAAAATAAAAAAAAATACATTTTATTCTTTGGTTTATAATAAATCAATTCAATACACACCAAAGTTAAAATTCCTACCCCATCTTTTCCCCCAAAATATCTTAAATATTTTATAAACTTTACTGGTGTGTTTATTACATAACAATTCACTGGGAAATAGATGTCATATTTTTAAAAATAAGAACAAGAAGTACAAGTCTGAGTGATTATACAGTAGGGAAAGACAACTCATAGTGATTATACAGTAGGGAAAGACAACTCATAGTGATTATACAGTAGGGAAAGACAACTGACAGTGATTATAGAGTAGGGAAAGACAACTCACAGTGATTATACAATAGGGAAAGACAACTCACAGTGATTATACAGTAGGGAATGTTGTTTTTACAATCAGGACACAAGAGCTCAGTCTCAGGTATCTGGAAGCCGCAGAAAGGACAAGGGGTCAAAGGTTCTTCCTCCTCTGTTCTCTCGGGCTTCCTGACAATCATTTCAATCTTGCGCTTGTACTTGACGTCAATGTCGTTTCTGTACTCTGGCCTCATCAGCATGGCCGCGTAGCTGAAGGAGGAGTTCTTTAAGCCTGCCCTATGGCACTCTATGACAGTGGAGGTTAATATTGGAACAATATCTGGGGAGTTAAAGAGTTAATATTTTGGGGTTAATATTGGAATATTATCTGGGGAGGAAAAGAGTTAATATTATGGGGTTAATATTGGAACAATATCTGGGGAGGAAAAGAGTTAATATTATGGGGTTAATATTGGAACAGAGTTAATATTGTTTTAAAGTCACATTGGTGATTTTAAATTACATGAATAAGCTCTGAATATCACTTCCTGAAATTACAGGTGCAAGTAAAAGTATAACAAACTTTTATAAAAGAATAATTTTCAATAAAATACTAATAAAAATTAAATAGTAATAGAAAAAAGCATAAGGAAATAACAGAAAAAAGTAGCAGCACATAAAATAAAAATAATGTTACACAGTAACAGAGTCATTACAGTAATATAATAAAATAGGAATAGTTGTATGATTATAAAGTTAGAATAATTGTGTAAAAAACCCAAGAATGAAACTACAAATCTTATTGTTGAATAACTCACATTTATAGAATGTATACAGATTTAAGTTAAAGGAAGAAGAAAATTCACATCTTGAATTTGAACATACTTGGCCTAGCCTATTCTTCCAAACATCAACATGCGCAGTCAGATCAAAAGAAAAATTGGTGAAGCAAATTGAAAGAACTTACGAGAAGGAAATTTGCTGATGTTGTTAGCAACACGGATCAGCATCCTGGCACCTTTGAGGTGGTCACCTTTTTTAACATGGATCTGGTGAGAGAAGTGGTCCAAACTTTACTAAGTCATTTCCTGTTATGGCTTATCATGTGAGTTGGGTGAAAAATGTTAAAAAATACAAGATCCTAGTTAAGTTAAATATTTCCAATATTTAACAATCAATTGTAACTTGCAAATAATAAAATATTTTGCATCATGCAATTGCCATTGTACAACTGCTATTAGCTAGATTAGTATGAGTTTTAGTTTGAGTTATAAGACAGACTTTAATTGACCTAACATTGACCAATTTACAGCTAATTCTTACCTTGACCAGTATATAGCTGTGTAAAATCATCAAGTTTGACGCCATCTCTGAAGGAATTTTGATTTTGTTTTCTTTGAGCTCCTGGAACATGCTGAACAAAACATCATGAGCATTGCGGTAGTTGCCTGAAATATAAACATCATGAGCATTGCGGTAGTTGCCTGAAATATAAACACCACAGTGGCTAGTTCATTCATTAATGTTCTTAACAAAGCTTTAATGAGTGTAGTGTGACAGACTGAAATTTTTAATGAATATAGTCTCGTTAGCTCATTAAGCTTTTAACTCTTAACAGACTAAGGGTTTTTTGGTGATATTTTCAGTAGCCGGCAGTATGCTTGCTTCTTTTGACCATAAGTAAAGTTAGAACATCAGCACACACATGTGTTATATATCATTGTGTAGGTATTTAATTTGCCTTTAATATCAGAGAAGGGATTTAGGTGTTAACTGTTGGTCTTAGTTTTGTAGCCTAAAATCTGATGGTTTAGTTTTAAAAAAAAACAAAAAAAAACCCTTAAAATCAACAGTCCCTAAGAAGAAAAAAATTAATTGATAACAGCTATAGAGTTAATTTGTATATTTTATTGTACAACAACCGTATATGTACAATTATGACAATTTTGAATGCACTGAGTCTAGAAATGGATTTTTCACAAATTAAATGACATTATGATAATTTTTACAGTAATTGGTCCTTCGGCAAACACTTTTTACACTACAAGTGGCAAACATAGGTAAACATGGAATCAAACACACACATAAGTAAATATAATGAAAAGATCAAATTCAAATATCTGCAGTACTTCTAATTAAATTAAAATAGATGCTTTTTATGATCTTCAATTGATAAATAATGTGAACATAAGTGATAACTACACAAACAATTTCCTTCTTTTTGTAAACATATAGTACCGCATACACTTATCGACACTTAACTTTTATTATTTTAATTTTTTTTAATCAATACTATAACAATTTAAAAACTTTATGCTAATCTGATATACTATGCATGGTTTATAGAATGGTTGGAAAATAATGGTGGATTATAATCCAAAGAAACAGGATGGATAAGTGAAATATTACCTAACTCTCAAACCAACTCATGAAGAGTGTAATTGGCAATACCTTGTTGGAATTTTTATTTCTAAGATATCTGGATTCTTTTCTCAATAATCTTGAAATTGAATGTAGAAATTAACTTTAGTTATACCTCAAAGGTGAAAAAAATTAGTTCTAGTACTTAATTGTTTACCGAAGGACATAACAGTTTTATTAACTGATCACTTTCATCCACCACATAAACTAATCCATCTGGCCCACTGACCAGAATAATAAAATTAAAAAAAAACAAAACCATATGTGTAACCTGTCAGTGATCAGCCAAAAGCTCATAATTGCATACCCTACTGTTGGCTTATCCACAATCATAATGTATTGTCAAGAAAAATATGCTTCCTAACCATTCACCATTGTCTTATCTATGGAAATATTGTATAAACCTACAACAATTTACTGCACTTAATTTTGATGTAAGTAGGATGCATTATTTGTATAATATGTCCTTTGTATGTTCAGTATCTTGATAGTACATCTTTCAAAAAGCATGACAGCTTTGAAGCAATAGCGTGATATGAAAGCTTGAGCCGCAGTCCATTGTAGAGCATAGAGTAAATTCTTGCTTCAGAATCTGTCAAAATGAGTGTTGATAATCCCCAGCTTGTATTGTAAGTCCATAAAACCTGTAAGATTTAATCAGGTGTCCAATTAAATCATCCCGAGACAGATAGGTGATCTGTGTCGCTTTACATAGACATTGGTAAATTGACATAATGAATGTATGTCACAATATCCACTGTAGAGTTTACAAACACAGTAAGTTTGAGTAAACATATACTTCATTGTACTGTCTCCTGTCCTCATCTCAGCCAGCTGAATTCCTGGTTCTTTCTCAGGAAGTAACAGTCCCAGTTGATAAGGGATACCCATTCACTCCTTTTTTCCTTTATAAATTCTCAGTTCTGTTGAAAAGAAAAAATGGTAAATATTTAAATTATGGATTCTATTTAATATTTTCACATATAATACTTTTATCATAAATGTTAGGTGATTTATAATAAGTTAGTACAAGTTAGTACTGTTTGTAACAAAAGAAAACTGAGTTTTTATTACAGTCATGTATGATCAGCTGATTTGTGTTTACATTCTAGACGGTAGACAGTACTGCTACCAATACTACTATTATTTAATAATTGTCATATACTATGAACTAAAAGTGGGCTAGTTACATAGTAAAATTATTGAAGTGTTCTTTTAACTACACATTTATATCTAATTAATATCATTAAAAAGAAAAATTTATAAAAATCGCCAAAAAATTAGTAGGAAAAAAACGATAAAAACCGAGTTACTTACGATGTGTAGAGAAAGAGTTCAAAATTGCGTTCAAAACTGTATTTTCATCATCTCCAGTGTCTAGGACATCAGTAAGGTCTTACACTTCTTCGTTACTTGAATCTAAATCATTTTCACGCAGATAATTAGAATCTAATTCCATTTTCCATGAGGTCTGACCGAGGATGAATGCAAAAACGGCAAGATGGCGGGGTCTCGCCGATGGCGCGATAGCATTAATTTTCGTACTCGAAAATATATAATAAGTTTAAAATTAATAATATTTTCTGCAGATTATGATTAATTCATCATTTATTTTGATATAAAATACTATTGTGCTTAAAAAAAAAACATTTTTATCACCATTTTTATGACCTCAAAGTCACATGACAATAATGGGACATAAACCAATCAATCGTCTGCTGAACGTTAATTAAGTTTCTCTAGTGTGCTAGCTAACCTACTCCATGTTTTTAAATAAATTGTAGTGTAAGCTATTTAACAGAGTTAACACAATGTTAGAATGATAGCACCTATTGTGCAGCCCAAACAGAACAAGGCTAGAAGATTTACCAGCATTCTGTTCCTCTCTAGCTATGATAATGGCTGTTCTTGCTGCTTCACCATACTTCTTCAAGGCCATGTACAGACGGAACAAATATTTAGCATCCTAATGATGGGAATATGAACAAATATTTAGCATTCTAGTAATGAAATTATGAACAAATATTAAGCATCCTAATAATGAAAATATGAACAAATATTTAGCATCCTGGTGATGGAAATATGAACAAATATTTAGTATCCTGGTCATGGGAATATGAACAAATATTTAGTATCCTGGTCATGGGAATATGAAAAAATATTTAGCATCCTAATGATGGGAATACACACAAATATTTAGTATCCTAGTGGTGATAACAATAATTATCATCCTGTAGATGTAATAAAAATATTATTTCCCTTATGGTTTTTCTGTGTTTAACAAAATAAAGAATTCTAGCTAATGTAAAGATTTGTGATAATTAAGTTTATTGTATTTAATAATTATTTCTTTTTTTCATGTTAATTATGACTTCTGTAGTAAAATTTACCTATTGGGTGCCTTTCACATCTCCCATAACAATAAATATCTTGAGTGTGACTACCACACCCCCAGCCTAAAAATTTACCTTCTGGGTGCTTTAAACATTTCCCATACTAAAAAATTAACTTAGGTGTGACTACCACACCCACAGCCTAAAAATTACCTTGTGGTGCCACCCACATCTCCCATACTAAAAAATTAACTTAGGTGTGACTACCACACCCACAGCCTAAAAATTACCTTGTGGTGCCACCCACATCTCCCATACTAAAAAATTAACTTAGGTGTGACTACCACACCCACAGCCTAAAAATTACCTTGTGGTGCCACCCACATCTCCCATACTAAGAAAATTAACTTAGGTGTGACTACCACACCAACTGTAATAAAATTTACCTTAGGGGTCCCATCCACATCTCCCATAAGAAAATCAACCAGCTGTTTGGTCAGTATGTCATCATTAGCTCGGCCAACAGTTTCAATGGCCAGTTCAATGGCCTGGCCATCCTCAGGATTACATTTGAGAAAATGTTTCATGGCCTGGAACAAACATAGTTAAAAAAAAACTATCAGAGAAAGGTAAAAAAAAAAACATTTATTTGTTATAAAACTATCAGAAAAAGATTAAAAAAAACAAACACATTTATTTGATATAAAACTATCAAATAAGGTAAAATAAAATGTATTTGATATCAAACTATCAGAAAAAGAAAAAAATAACACAATCTATTTGATATAAATCTATCAAGTAAAAGCTTAAAAACGAAAAACAGGATTTTTTTAAGAAAACAAAATAAGATGAAAAGAAAAAAAAAATATTTGATAGAATACTGTAAGGGAAAGTTAAAATAACAATAGTTATTTTGTTTGGATAATGATAAATGAAGACATTATTTGATGGAAAACTATCAGGAATAGATTAAAATAAGAAAATTTATTTGTTAGAAAATTGAAAAACAAAATAGTAAGACAAGAATTATTGACCAGACAGCATTCATTAGATTAACCTTGGTGTATTGTCCACTCAGCAAAAAGAATTTCCCGGCCATAAAATGATTCTTCTCTGCCTCAAAGAATACTGCGATACTGTGGTAATCTTCAACCGTGGCATCAGCACCTATAGAGAAACATTAAGAACTAAACAAGACTATCATTATGAAAAGCAAGTAAAACAAAATGCAGTTTCAACTAACCAGACCAAAAAGTTTAACTCAGACATGAGCCTATGATGACTACTGCAAATAACCCTACATCAACCAGCTAATGAACTAAACCTCAAATAAACCTATAAATTATTTTGACCAGACATGGCCAGTGAAAACCTCAACCAACCTACCAATGATATCAGGATATATCTATATCATTATAAGTCCCCCCCCCCCCCCTCCCATCTGTTGCTGAACCCCTCTCCCACCAACCTACCAATGATATCAGCATATATCTCCATCTGTCATTCCCCCCTCCCCCCACCAACCTACCAATAATATCAGCATATATCTCCATCTGTCATTCCCCCCCCCCCCCCCCCCACCAATTTACCAATGATATCAGCATATATCTCCATCTGTCATTCCCCCCCCCACCAATTTACCAATGATATCAGCATATATCTCCATCTGTCATTTCCCCCCCCCCCTCCCACCAACCTACCAATGATATCAGCATATATCTCCATCTGTCATTCCCCCCTCCCCCCACCAACCTACCAATAATATCAGCATATATCTCCATCTGTCATTTCCCCCCCCCCCACCAACCTACCAATGATATCAGCATATATCTCCATCTGTCATTCCCCCCCCCCCCCCACCAACCTACCAATGATATCAGCATATATCTCCATCTGTCGATGTTGTTGAGCCAACTGAAAAGCTTCATCATTGCAGTGAGACATGACAAGGAATTGAATGGCTGACCCGTAATCATTCAAACGTTGAAAAAATCTGAAATATTTTTATCTCAGCTTGCACATTTGTTACAGTTTAATCTTTTACATTAAAATAATATTAACACTCAACACTCAGAACTCTTTTTATAAAATGAGAATAAAAAATAATAATAAGAACAATCTTGAAAAAAAAAAAGAAAGTAATCGGATTCTTCTTAAATAAAAAAATTGAAAGTACTAAGATCCTTCTTATAAAAAATCAACGAAATGAGATTTTTTGTAAATTACAAAACAAAACATGACAAAATCCTACTTCTTATAAAAAAATCAATGAAATGAGATTTTTTGGCAAATTATAAACAAAACATGACAAAATCCTACTTCTTATAAAAAAATTAATATAATGAGATTTTTTGGTAAATTACAAACAAAACATGAGAAAATCCTACTTGGCAACCATCTTGGCTCCCTCCACTGACTGGGTCTCCCTGACAATTTTCACAGCCTCCTCTGGGTTCTGGAGGTGATCTAAATTTATCCTGGGACCAAAACAAAACAGATGACAATTTATTACAGCTTTTACATGCTAGAAGCAAAAACTGCTGACATGGTAACATTAAACATGAGCGTGAAATTCCCTAACATGACACACATTAATGTTGGGTTAATGGTGAGGTAAGACACCCCTCGTCAACCGCCCAGATGTCAGAGGCACAGCAAAGTGTTTTCTGGGGGCACCTGACGCCCCTGTGGTAGTGTCACATGTTACACTACCCCTGGGGCCTCAGGTGAGTCGCCTGGTTAGGCTTAAGTGTCAAATGTAATGGCCCACCTTGTCCTTAGATTAAGGTGTTCTTTAAAATGAATAACAACTTATACCACTATATATAAATGGTCAGCAAAAAAAATGTGTATGACATTTTGGATCAATGTTGAGCATATTGAGTTGTACCATTGCATTTTGTGGGGTTGTTTTGTAAATAATAAAATGCACAGATTTAAGGAGAACAAGCTAATAAATTTGACTTCTGAAACATTTTAAGCAATTTTTTTTTTTTTTTTTTTTTTTTCAAAGATTTTAAGAATTTATTTTCTCCTTTTTAGTGCACGATTATGTAAAATCTTGTTATTAAAACATTTTTACAAGCTTTTATCTAACTTGCTTCAAGTAAGAAGTACAAAATAAAACTTTAAACCACAAACATCAAGTCAGAAGTAACAAAATAAAACTTTAAACAACAAACATCAAGTCCATTTTTTCCTATGATAATGTGCCAAGGGTTCCCAAGCTTTAATTTGTCCAGTGATTTTTTAGTTCTTTTCCTTCTGAGACATTAACCAGTGCCTAGATCTAGGTTTTCTTCGCTTTTGAGCGTTGAGCGATTGGGTGGTGGTTTTCTGTATGCATCCGTATACCCTCTAATGGGAGGGATACGTCGCATATGTTGCAGGCGTACATTGTTTCGTCGGGGTGTTCTTCTTCGTAGTGCTTGAGTATGTCCGTGTAGAATGTGCTTTCTGTGTAACCTGTCGTGGTTTGTTTACAAATATGACACTGTTTGAACTTTTTATGCATTGCGTCTTCGTGTAGATCCACTTCCAAGGTTGTTCTGAATCGCAGGGTGCAGAATTTGCAATGTGTTTTGTTATGAGCTAGTTTTTCGATTTTTAGATTCTTTGTTATTTTCTTTGCCTCTGTGGGGCTTTTCTTCTTTTTTCTTTTTGAGACTGCATTAGTGTCCATATCTGATACTAAGCTAGGGCTGTCGAATGCAGGGATTTGCTTTGTTGTAGTTTTGTCTGGAGACGTCGTAGGAGGTGATGGCAGGTCTGAGTTAAGGATTGTTGTCTCAGTTGCTTTGATGATTGATGGTTTCGTTGTGCTTGTATTAGAGTTTGTTGTGTTATCAGGCGGTTTGGAAGAGTTGGCTGGACTACTGTTGAGAGTGTCCGTGATGGTCGTGTTTGGGGTCGTCTGGTCATCTATCGGCTTTGAGGGTTGTGGTGCAGTTTGGTTATCCGTAGAGGTTGTTGTTTCGCGTGGTGGTACATATTGAGCTGTTGACAGGTTGGACATTTGGCATTGGCTCGTCCAATGAAGGTTGGAGGAGCAGAATTGGCAGGCTTGTTTCCTTCCGGCAATTGCTATAAGTATGTTGAGTGTATTGTCTTTGTAGTTTATGTGGATGTAGTGTGGGATGTGTGTTGGGTTGTCGGTGTATATGGAGAAACTGCGGTTGTTGGTGTGTGGGATGGTGGTGATGATAGGTTCTTGGTTGCTATAGGGGCGTAGTGCTTGAATGAGAGTCGCGTTGTTTAGTGTAGGGGGTACCCATCTAAGGGTCCCATTGATTTTGTTTTTTTCGTATAGTGTGAAGTGTAGTGTGTATGGTCCGTGAGTTTTGTGTGTGTTGTGTAGAGTGGTGACGTCAAAGGCTTTCGATGAGAAAAACCATGTGTCCGCTCTGCCGTAATTAAGTAATTGGATTTGCTGGTCACTGATGATTTGCCCGATTACGTGACCTCGTAGGTTAGGATGTCCTTTGGAGATTATGTTCAGTTGCATTGTGGGCGTTTCAGCTTCAAACAGGTCTGGGCAGTTTTCTTCTGGCAGGTTCAGGAATGTAGTCGACTTGGCTGAAAAGGGTTGGGCCCAGGCTTTCATTAAGCCACCCGAACCGTAGTCCGGGTGGCTCCACCCCAAGTCTCTCGACTCAGGGGGAATATCCAGGGGCGCAACCCCCTTGCTGGCGCTGGTAATATCTGCGTATGACATCATGCGAGGAGATGACATTGTAGGATGTTGTAGGATTGGGAGGACCTCCTTACTGATCAAGGTGCCTCCTGTGCCAGGTAAGGGAATAGTTTTCAACTAGCAATAACCACGCCTCGGTAAAACCTCATTGGCTATGGTACCGCCACTGCGCAAAGCAATTTTCCAAAGGTTTTGGTGTTAAAGATGGCCTAACCTGCAATCGGAGCAACACCACCATTAAAATGAAATTATCAAATTTCATCAAATGAAACATTTAGTAAAGCTAATAGTTTTCAATTTGAAATGTTATTTTTTAAATAAAAGGAATATAAAGGATAGATAAAAAGTTATAGAAGGTTTGAAATATTCATACTTAGTAATATAATAAACAATTATGTAAACTTAATATTTTTTAACTAATAAACTTCTTTCAATTTTTAAAGTCTTTTGGCAACATGGTGTTTGGTTGTCTCCCTTAGGTATTTTAAATTCAAGATTTATTAACCACAGTACAAAATCCTAATATATAAATCCCCACGTTCGCACATCTCTCTCTCTCTCTCTCTCTCTCTCTCTGTCTGTCCGCAAAATATTTTCGCCGGACATCACGTCAGAATCGGCAGCGATATATGAATAACTTTTTACGGACTTTTGTTGAAAATAATATGTGAGATGTTTTAAATGTATAACCACAATTTTAGTTAAAGAAGAAAAATAAAAATTAAAGGCGTATTCGAATGTAGAGAAACAGTATTATTTATGCAACCGGAAAAGCATTTCTTCTTCTTCTTCTTCGTTCTTAATTATTAGTGTTGAAGGGGATCGAGATTTATGTGCCAGTGGGTTTGAACTCGAGACTTTTTTCGTATTTACTTTTTGCCGACTCGACCACGCCTCCAACACAATTAAGCGTTACGTGTCAACTGGTTATGCGCCACAGAGGCCATTGACTCCGATTTCAGCCTGCTTTTCTTTTTGGATTTGCTTCCATAGCCTTTGTCCAACCAAGAACAAACTACAAGGCAGCAGTTGTTTGATTTTGGAGTTGTCTCTCCTAGAAGAGTGGCTGTCCCCAGCTAACGAGCCTCATCTTCCCGAGGGTTCGAACTCGAGAGTTTTCGGTTAAGCAACCATGAGCTTTACCGACTCGACCACGCCGACCCCCGGAAAAGCATTAATATATGTGAAAAAGAACGCATAAAATTGTGACGTCACTATTGCTTATACATTAACTAATGACGTCATCTGCCGTGTTTAGAATGAAAAGAAATGAACTATTTCATTCAAATTTGATTTAGATCTACGTACACTATGAAATGTATACAATACAATTTTTCCGGCCTAAACTCATAAAATTTATTTTATGTATTTGGATTCTAGATCTAGAGATTCTAGATCTAGACTAAATCTAAATCTAAATTTAATCTACGCAATAACTAGATCTAGACGTAGACGCTAAGATCTAGATTTAGACTCTAACTTCTCTAAAATCAATTCCAAAAATAAATTTCTATATTAGGACTAAACTATTTCAAGACTTATTTATTTTATACAAAATCTTTGTTTGGAACTGGCTAATTTGGGATAAAAAATTAATTTGAAAGAATAGGCATATTCGCGTAAGTTAAGATTTTAAAATACGTGTTTCATTCTCCATATTTTATAAGGTGCCTAAATAGCGGAGATGTTAGTGTACATTAAACCACGCAGGTGGTGCGGGTTCGAGACACAGCAAGTCAACTTGGTTAATGTACTCTTTTTTATTATGCTCGGGCTAAACTTAAAAAAAAAATTCTTTAGGAATCTAGATCTAGATTGTCGGGTGTCCGATAGGCACTTCTCGGCGCCGCAGGCGCTTCAAATTTGGCATGATCTTGCCTTGGTGCGACAGAACACGGGGGCCGGTTGGCCGAAAAGTCTACGATGTGGGGGTCAAAACTGACCTCGACTGACCGGTACCTTATATGAGCTATAAATCGAAAAAAAATGTCCACGGAGGAACCTCTTCATAACTCTTGAGGTCGTAGACCGACCTTCGGGCGAATTAATTAAGCATTCAAATTCTCAATGTTTTCGAAAGCCTAAGCGAAGCTGGGCAGCATGCCTAGTCTATCTATATTCAACTACAACTCAAGTTTGTTTACAAGAGTGTATATTTAGTTTTTTGTTTGTTTTTTTGTTAGTCTGTTTGATTACATGAGAGCATCTGCACTATATGTAGTACTGTAATATATGTATTAATGAAGAGAACTATGTTTTTTCCCTCAAAATGTTATACAAAAATTTATTTAGGCCTAAGGATAATACTTATTTTAACGATACATACATACATACATGTATATCTATATCTATACATAATGACATACATACATACATTCATATATATATATATATATATATATATGTTACGGTCAAAGCCTGAAGTGCAGCCAAAGTCAGCATTGGCCAGTCAATCTGCGCATTGGCCGGTCAATCAGCGCATTGGCCGGCTCTCTTGGCCAAAGCCCGAAGAACTTAGCACTAACAGCGTATTCTGTAAATTGGCCGGCCAATGCGTGCACTGGCCGGGACGTACTGGCCAATGTTCTATCTAGACTAGGTTGTGATGGCATTTTTTATTATTCTGGGTGCGGTTTCATTGTGAGTAGCGTATTGCTTAGCTCTTTTTTGTATAGCATTCTATATGTAATGCGACATGGACCAAAAGGACCGTCAGATCAAAGACAGACAAATCAGATGGCTGGCAAAATAAATAATAAAAATCCTAATGGAAAAGAATTTGTGAATCAAGTTATTTCTGAACTAAAGAAGAAGTTCACAAGAAAACCAAGGCATAGTCAAAGCCAATGTTCAGTAGAACGTGCCAACTAAGATGTTCTAAAAACGATGATGACATGGATGCAGACATATGAATCAGCTCATTGGGCTGAGAGTCTTCTGAAAAACCATAATTTTTATCAAGGAATCCAATAATCGCCCTACAAAGCCTTGTTTGGATGCAAAGCAAAAGTGGGACTTAGCAGTTCAAATCTACCAAGAGAGGCTACTAAGGAAGACCTTGAGCACATTGAATAAGAAATGGAGATTGCCATAAATGCAACGACATCCTCAGCTAACACATCTGCTACCGTGGTGCAAAGTCCAGTCCAGATGCGTGACAATAATAAGGCCAACAGATTCTGTTTGTGAAAAATATTGTAGTGCAGCCCATTCTTGTGGATCCTGTGGCAACAATGTCCATGCAATATGCGGAATAGCCAATGAAGCAGAAGAAGGGTATGGAGGGAACATTACTTGCAGATTATGTCACAATAAACAAGAAACCATGGACAACAGGTCAGCAGCTCATACTACCTTGCAAACTGAAGGTGCTAAGATGCTAACAAAATTTAAACAAGCTGAAGTGAAAGATACTGGTCGCATCCGTATTCCAGATGTTGACAGAGGTCGCGGTGATCCCCGAAGCGTCATTGCAGTTGGCATGATCGTCGAGGGCGCTTTCTACAAGCTAGGAACGGAACAAGGTTGTATTTAAAAAACTGTAAGCTAGAAGTGAGTTTTCAATTCTTCATGAAACTGCTCTCATTTACTGCAATTGCACAACCTAGTGCACAACAAATCGCTGCAAGGCTAAAAATAACAATGTAATTCCAAATAATAATTAACAAAGACTTAATTTTTATGCTCCTTACGGTATAAAAAAACCAAAATCTGCTCACAATCTTCTAATTCAGACTCTGTACCTAGCCAGATGATCTTCTAATTTGGACTGGCCAGTCCACCATGGCCAGTCCGCGGATTGGCCGGCCAAAGGCTGAAATCAAGAGCCATTTTAGACTTTGGCCGGTCCACCATGGCCAGTCCACGGATTGGCTGGCCAAAGGCCGAAATGAAGTAAAGTTTTGGACTTTGGCCGGTCTATGGTAGGCAATATTGGCCGAAATGAAGTAAAGTTTTGAACTTTGGCCGGTCTATGGTAGGTGATATTGGCCAATGCGCATTTTGGCAGACTACGGGCTATGACCGTTATAATATATATATATATATATACATCAAGATCAAACTAGATTTAAGCCATTTTTAGTTCTAGTGGATCTAGATCAAGTAGAATTTAGAAATTTTCATTATTAAGTATGTGCCTAGCTGGCTGAGATGACAATGTGTTAGTGACCTAGTAAATGGTATGGGTTCGAAACCCATCATGCCAGTGTTAATTTAAAAAAAAATTTCCTACGTAGAAAGTGCACAGTAGGAAATCACAACGCAAGCAAATGGTTCTAATTCATTATTATTAGTTTGACGTTAGCTTTAATAATATATTCATTTGTTATTCATATGAGGTGCGAGCTCAGAAAATAAAGAAATTTATGTTTTGAAAAGACAAAAACATGTTAGGTGAAGTGTGACGTCTTTTTATATGTGGGGTCTGGCTTTTTGTGACAATGTGTGAGAGTGGGGAAAGGAAGGGGGGAAGATAAAATTACCAAACAGGAGTTAGATCATTTATGAATGACCCCTAAACCCACAGTTATCCTAAGGATAACAGTGGTCTAGTAGTCTTTATAACTCACAGAATCATTTTGTTTAACATAGAGAATTTCACATACAACAATACTATTTGGTGACCAGTGTGTCACCACACACCTTACATTATCCATTCCTTAGACTGTGTAACCACATACCTTATAACTTTATCCCATTATTTGGCCTGTGTCACCACATACCTTATAACATTATCCCATTCCTTAGCCTGTGTCACCACATACCTTATAACTTTATCCCATTATTTGGCCTGTGTCACCACATACCTTATAACATTATCCCATTCTTTAGCCTGTGTCACCACATACCTTATAACATTATCCCATTCTTTAGATTGTGTCACCACATACCTTATAACATTATCCCATTATTTGGCCTGTATCACCACATACCTTATAACATTATCCCATTCCTTGGCCTGTATCACCACATACCTTATAACATTATCCCATTCCTTAGATTGTGTCACCACATACCTTATAACATTATCCCATTCCTTAGATTGTATCACCACATACCTTATAACATTATCCCATTCCTTAGATTGTATCACCACATACCTTATAACATTATCCCATTCCTTGGCCTGTCACCACATACCTTACAACATTATCCCATTCCTTAGCCTGTGTCACC